AGAAAGAGAATCAGGAAGAGGTGTGTGCACTTCCCGGGTCAGGCTGGCCTGCTGTCTGCACACACTCCTTCAGCCTCAGCAGCTCTCGGGAATTGCTTTTATCCATACTTTACAGAGTTATGCATGTAGCTGTCCTAAGTGTCTGGGACCAAAATGGCTCTCGGGACTCCAAACCTTCAGTTCAAAAACCAGTCATGTCATGGGATAATGAGTATTTAGTCACCTGAAGCTATGGGGGTTTCTTGAACGCTGGCCCTTCTGAGCTCAAAGTCTTTCTTTTCGCCATGGTGTCATACTATCTCCATTAAAGCAATGTAGAAAAATGGCTGATTCAGAGAGTAGGGAGAAAGTAAAGGAAAAAAAGAAAGCTAGAGGAGGGGATCTTGTTAAGGGGAACGGTGCTTTGTCTGGAGGCAAATTCTGGTTCCAGTTCACTCACAAACCCCAATGTCATAATGAGATCATTTACATCCCTGTGTTGACTCTCCTGGCCTTTGAAGTGTGTGTGTGTGTGTGTGTGTAAATTAACAGAACTTCCAGTCTTAAAGTTGTATTATTGAAAACTTCTTTGAAAGCTACACTTTCCAAAAGCATTTCAGAGCCAATTAATTTTGGTAAGTTCATTGAAGAAAATATGAAATTGAGAGTAGAAGTCAGAACTGACAATATACCATGACTTGCTCAAATGTCTAAATCTACCCCTCAAAAAACCAGTGATTCTGAGTGCAGCAGAATTCTGTGGGAACAGTTCAACAGCTTCGCCTTTATTTTATTTGTTATAATTAACTTTATAGTGTTTTCATGGCTGTCTTTAGCTGTTTATGTAGTGTCCCAAACATCTCAGCAGGGAACTGCTTTATAAATCAAGTTTTCTCTTTTTATTGTTATTTATAGAATGTTAATGGAGTCTATTTAGGAGCAATGAGTATAGATTAGAGAATGGGGCATTCTGAGTAGAAGATTTAACACAAAACGAATCTCAACAGGCAGGATTGTAAAAAAAAAAAGTGTGTGTGGCATTAATTGGATATTAGAAAGCTGTGAGAAACCAGATGATCTGGCATGAGAAATTAGACCCAAATACATGAGTTCGAGTTGCGCACATCCTACTTCTCTGAGTTCTCCAGTGGGGTTTGGGCCCATGGTTCCTTTCAGGCTGTCTTAGTTCATTTTATTTATTTACTGATTTTTTTATGGTGAAAATACCATACAGAGGGGTTACAAGGACAAGGTAATGAATACATTTCTTATCCAGTATTGTTGCCTCTTCCTTTTTTTCCCCTTCCCATCCCTCTTAGTTCATTTTCAATACTGTAATTACATAGTTAAGGCAGGGTCAGTTTACAGAGAAAAGAGGATTCTGCTCACAGTTGTGGAGGTCTGGTGTGCTGGCTGTGGTCCAGCTTTGGTGAGGGCCTCCAGGCTGCACCACACCACAGGGAACACATGTGACATTTCAGGGCAGGAAGACAGAGAGGCTGCAGTGGCCACAGCATGGCCCCTTCCCAGGTCAGGCCCTGTCCTCTCCTAGGAGATCAGGTCCTGTCAGGCTCCACCTGCGGAATGTTCCACACTCATAACAATGCTCCTTCTAGCACAGGACCCTCTGTGCAGCACACCTAAGCATATCCCAGGCTGTTTAGAATCAGTAAAGCCATATGGAGGGAAGCTGTCTGGGAGCCACCGAGCCCTGCCCAGTGCTGGCCACGGTCACTGCCTTGTGCAGCAGCAGGCATGAAAGGCTGAGGAATGAAGTAGCAACAAATAAAAGTGCTATTCATCCTGTTCATCTGCAAGTGAAAGAAATGGTGGAAAACAGACGTCACTCAATTACTTCATGTAACCGTGTTTCAGGCCTTGGAGTTCTCGATTCTGGAAGGAGACCAACCCTGCTGTCCGTCATGGCTGTGGTACAAGCTGTGCCCCCCAAAGACAAGTGTGAGTATGCAGTCCCTGCACACCCCACCTGGAGCATGACACGTCCACTCCCCAAGGGGCTGGGTGTCCATTAATAACCCCATTGGCAGATCTTGCAAGAGTGCACACCACACCCTTTACTCCCCTTGAACCCAATACCGAGAGAACTACAGGAACTTTTACTTTAGTCCTCACTGGGTCCAAAGTACTTGAAATGGGGTTGGCGAAAACCAGGAGCTGAACATTTCCTCTCATTTTAATTAAACTTAAATTAAAATTAAACTTAATTAAACTTAAAGATGGATCATTCAGTGATGGGAAGACATTTAAGCATGCTTGGAGCAACATGGGTATGTAGGTCTACGTTTTCCAAATGACTGTTTTATAAAACCAAAGCATAGATTACATTTTTTCCTCCCTCATAAAAATTTAGCAAATGAACCAAGATACTTGTATTTATAAAATACAAGTGGGATTTGCAAGCCAGGAAAAAAAAATAGTAAAATATTCCCTTAATATTTAATATCCATTAATGTTGACAGGATTGTATTTTGAATACCTTATTAAAAGAAAATGTTCTCCTACCACTTATTATGTTGTTAGTTGGTGTTGCTTTCACTTATTTTTAATGTGCTGACTAGAAAATTTTAAATTGCAAATGCAGTTTTACATTGTTATCTCCTTTTCTACTTGCATTGAGTTATCTCTGACATGTAAAAATTGCTTACATTTAAGCAGTGCTAATGATGATGCATGAATGGTTTGGGAAGCAAAGCAACATATCCATTTCCATGCACACTTTCCTTCGTGTGTGCCATATGAATATTTAAGATCTATTTTCTCCACATGTTTCAAGTATGGATCGTGTTACGACTTACTACACATTGAGTTTTGGTTATTGATGATCTAGCTTTGGCAACCATCTGGACAATTCAGGCTTGGGTAGCACGGCTAGGAAATTCTTTTGCTCTGTGGCTCTGACCCTGTATGACCGTGACCCCCTGACCCTTTACCCCTGGATCTGTCTAGAGCTGGTGAAGACAGAGTAAGCATGTATGCAAAGATGCAAAGGGCAGAGAGGGAGGAAGATGCTTAAAGAAAGGAATGTTCCCCGGTTTCTTTCTTTCTTTGTCACTTCTCTCTCTCTCTCTTTCTTTTTCTCTCTCTTTCTTTCTTTCTTCTTTCCTTTCTCTTTTTCTTTTCTTTTCTCTTTTTTCCTTTCTTTTCTTTTTGCCTGTCAAGGAGCTTGAACTCAGGGCTTGGGTGCTGTCCCTAGCTGTGTTGCTCAAGGCTGGTGCTGTACCACTTGAGTTACAGCTCGGCTTCAGGCTTTTTGGTAGTTAATTGAAGGTAAGAGTCTCATGGACTTCATTTCCTGGGCTGGCCTCAGACCTCGATCCTCAGATCTCAGCTTCCTGAACAGCTAGCATGATAGACACAAGCCACCATCACCTGGCTCGTTTTATTTTGCTTTCGTATTATGGCCATCATGACTTTGAAGTCCCAATATTATGAGCTTGGAATTCTCCTACATTTTTTTTTTAAAAAAACTAACCCAATCCCAGTCTGAGAAATGCCAGAGTACTACGTATGTACGTGAAGCATGCTGGAGGCCCATTAATCCCTATCAAGGCCTATTAATTACCTACCGAGAAGGAAAGAGGCTTCGCTAAAGAGGACCGGGAAGTGGGAAGTGGGAAATGAGGAAAGGTGTCAGCTATACAGTGCAGCAGAAAGCCTGCGTGTGGGATTGCCCATGTGGGCCTTAGGAGGACGTTGTTGTGGCGAAAAATACTAACCACATGCCTTATGATATCTGGCCTTCATTTGGTTCTTCAAATCTTTTTGAGAGAAAGTTAGATATGTCACCTTCTCCATTTACATATGAAGAGAATGGAATATATGTGGGTTCATCTGTGGCTTTTATTCAGTTTCTGTTCACTTCTTAGCTTCCACTCGCTTTACCCTAGAAGCAGTGACTGCTTCCCCTCTCCTCTGCCCTGCCCTGATACGTCCTGCTCTGCCCCCATCAGAGCTGGCTGCAAGAAGGAGATCCTGACGAACAGAGACCTTTTCTTGCTCATTTCCTTGTATACAAAACTTTTGTGTTTTACATGTGATGTGTTTGCTATCCCAGTGAAGAGATTACTTCCTGCGGAAAGGAAAGTTAGGAAGACTGAAATACACCAATCAGAGATGCTCTGGGTTGCTGGGATAGGAAGGAAGGAAGGAAGGAAGGAAGGAAGGAAGGAAGGAAGGAAGGAAGGAAGGAAGGAAGGAAGGAAGGAAGGAA